AAAAAAGGGCCTAACTAAGTGTGACCGTTTGCACTTAACGGTCAATAAACAGGACTGTTAGCTTAATTGGACGGAGGGACGACAACTGCATGTTTTTACATTGTAGAGGGATGACAAGTGCATGCTTTTACATTGTAGAGGGACGACATGAAGCCAATTCATAGTAGAAGGTTTAGAATGCACTATTTTGGATAGTAGAGGGACGATAGATGGCCTTAACCCGATTTTTTTTCATATGTTTTGTCAACAAGGAGGGGAGAAGCACCCTTTCGTCAATGTCCTGCTCCACTTCTTTTTTCAAATTCAATCATTTATGTTGTTAATTTATAATCTTACCTCTTATATTTATTTGTTTTTATAGTATTTTAGATTTAGTTCAACTATTATGAACTAACAATTTCTAGTTAGAGAGGTGAACTATATTTAATACTACTTTATAATGTGTGTTAGTGTACATATTGAGTTGATAAATTGTGATGTTTTAAATTTTATATTGAGTGGAAATGTAAATGTAAAAATTCATTATTTAATAACCTAATGTTAAATTTTAGGTGTTCATAAACTTAGTTTAAATAAGATTATTTTAATAAGTTTTTTTAAGAGGGTTTTAAGGCATATATTAAGAGTACATTTATTGTATCATTTCACAATTTATATAAACAAAATTATGAAAGTAAATTTTATTTTTAACATCAATTCCACACGAAACATTTAATTAGATGGTTAATAAAACTATAATCAATTTTTATATTTTCATCCAAATTAATGATAAAAAGATGCACATATTAAAATAATTCTTTTTTAATAGTTTTTTAATAGAAGGTCTTTCTAATATGAGCTATTAAATATAGTTTTTCATTATGAATTTGTATTGAAAAAACAAAAATTGACTTCTAATTTATCAATTATCCAATTAAACTTATCCACTTGATATTAATATTGAAATTAATTTTAATTTTTAGATTTTTTCTATATGTATTTATGACAAAAAGGTTAGTTAAGAAAACCTTTTAATATTTGCCTTAAGAAAACAATTAAAAGTGTAATTAATGCACTTTTAATTATTAAGTTACATAAAAAATTAAATACTATTAATTTTAATTTTAACAAATAATCAATTAATTAATATATATAACATTAGTATTAAAATTAATATTAACTTTTTTATTCTTCATATTAAGTGACTGAAAAATGTATTAATTATACTTTAAGGCAAAGTTTGGAAAAAATATATATTACAATAACCACCTAACATCACATATTTAATATAAAAATATTTACTTGTGTCTTAAGAGTGTTTATTACACATTTTCTCCATTTATTTGCATGAAAAATTATGAAAGTAAACATTATTTTTAATATTAATATCATGTTAAACAATTTAACTATATAATTAATATAATT